TTTTTGAAATTAGCATATCAAAAGAACAACCTTATACTCGCTTAATTGTAATACGACAACATACATACATACAAATAATTTCAATTTCTCATAAAAATAATTTTAATAAAACACATATTTATTTCTACAAATTTTTTTATTTTTCTTAAAATTTTTAACGGCAAAATTTTTATTAAAACTTTAAACACTAATTAAACAAATAAATAACTTTAAAATTTTTTAAATAAAAAAATGTGAGTGGCGAGTTTTAAATAAAAATGGTTTTTGCTATGAATAATTCTAAAAATAATGGGAATGAACAAATTTAATTTATTACAATGAACAACTAAATAAATTATATACACAATTCTAAATTTCATTTAAACAACAATAATTAAACTACACATATACTTATTTACACATGAAAATATTTTTAAAGAAAATAAAAATTTAATAGAAGAAAGGTAACTGACTAGTTAGAAACAGAAAACGCAATCGGAAAAGAAACAGGACCAAGTGAAACAAACTGTTAGTAATCATAATAAAGAATTAACCGTGCGAACGTTTAGGTCGGGCACCCCAATCCTCTTTAATCAAATCTGAAGCTTTTTCACCAATCATGATTACTGGAGCGTTTGGATTGCCATTCACAATAGTGGGCATTATGCTAGCATCTACGACGCGTATACCAGATACACCGTAAACACGTAAGCGTGGATCAACTACTGCCGTCACATCCCAACTTGGACCCATCTTGCAAGTTCCTGTTGGATGATAGATAGTGAAAGTGAATTGTTTAATACAGCAACCCCAATATTCATCCGACATAAATTCATAATGACGGCAACCAGGCAGTGGTATATTATGTGGTCGCGAACCGAAACGTTGAAAAGCTTGAGTATTAGAAACGTTAATAGCTAATTTAATGCCTTCCACAAGCACATCAATATCTTCTTGATGTGCAAAGTAGTTAGGTATAATTTTAGGTTGATGTTGGGGATTTCGTGAATTCAGTCGCACCCAACCGGTACTTTTCGGACGTAGCAAGAGCGGCAAAATAGACCAAGTTTCAGAATTTTGTATGGGTTTATACACGGTGTTATAAAAACCGTCGCGTAAATTTAGAATTTTACGTATTTGTTCACCTCCATCGGAATTAATTGAACTCGGACAAAAATGAAATTGTATATCTGGCCAATCTACAGCTGGATCCTGATATTTACTATTTAAAAATGCTACTGCCTCCACACCAGAAAATGTCATTGGTCCACGTTCTCTTAAAATGTATTCCATTGTTACTGGTATAGTTTGAAATCGATTTCGTGTAACTGTCAACGGTGCATCAACAACAAATGTCAAACCACCTAAACCAACATGATCTTGTAAATTATTGCCAACAGGTAAATCAGATATCACTGGTATATCAAATTCCTGTAAATGTTCTGCTGGACCAATGCCGGACAACATGAGAAGTTGCGGTGTGTTCAGTGAACCAGCTGCTGAGATCACTTCTCGACGTACAAAAGCGATATTTTTGCGTCCACCTTTTAAAAACTCTACACCTATAGCGCGTTTATTTTTATCAATAAGTATCTTGGTTGCTTGTGAGTGTAGAAGTACATCTAAGTTTTTACGCAAACGTACGGGTCTAATAAAAGCTTTGCCTGTGCTACACCTCGCGCCCCTACGAATTGTGCTTTGTGTAAGCATAAATCCTGTTTGCTTCTCACCATTGATATCACGGTTCTCGTAGCCCATTTCCATGCCTGCCTGTAGGAATGCAACAGACAATGGAGTACGCCATGGAGACTCTTGTACAGTTAAATAACCACCAGTTTCGTGGTAGGGGGTGGTTGCCAAATAAGGATTTCGAACATCTTCGGATTTTAGAAAATATTTTAAAACGTCTTCATAGCCCCATCCGGTATTACCAAGTGATTCCCAGTGATTGTAATCATTCTTAGAACCACGCACATAAACCATAGCATTCAAAACACTAGACCCACCTAAAACTTTACCGCGTGGCCAAAAACAACGATCACCTTTCATGGCCTGACAATATTGACGCGTGGGTGAAGGGGTTGTTTGATATTTCCAGTCCAAATCAGTTAATTGTAAATAGCCTGCTAGTGCAGGTACATCAGAAATTTCAGTTTCATCTCCTCCAGCCTCAAGTAAAAGTACAGTCCAGTTACGTACTTCTGATAAGCGATTGGCTACCACTGCACCTGCGGAGCCACCGCCTATCACTATGAAATCATATTGACGTCTGACCTTGAATTAAAAGTAAAAATTATTTAAGCACGTTTTTTATAAATCTTTATTCTTACTGTTTGTGGCTCTTGCACTTTGCTTTCTGGATCGACACTTTGGTAGCGATAAAAGTTCATGCCGATAGCTAGTAATGGTATCATGCCAAGCAAAGATGTCATTGCTCCAAACGCCATGTTTCAGTAATTGTCAAATCCACGGTTCCTCCTTGACTTTTGCACGTTGTTTGGCAGCGAAACCCACGGCTGGTGCACTCACAGATAGTGTGGCGTCTGATAATATTTTAGGCGTATAGTTCCGTATTCCACCCGGTTTGCCTGGCTTATAGTGTGCCCGTGCTTTTTCGTCTTCCTCCAATATGTCTAAATAAGATTTAATATACAAATGATGATTGAGATAATTTTTTTGTTTATCCAAAGATTTATTCGATTTACTCGATACTAAAGATATTGAACAACCGCTTGTAGAACTGGCTGAAGAGCTAGATGCACCTGATGAGACAGAAGAACAATGACAGGATGAGGAGTAATAAATTCCGCTATCCGTACTAATTGAGCTTTTGCGATGCAGCTTTGTGTTTTGAAAATCGTTTGATGGACGTTTACTATGTACAATCTTTTCGTAGTGTGTGCTGATGTCTGTTGAACTGCGACTGCTGACGGATGTGATCTGATAATCGGATGTTGTGGAAGCTGTAGTTGTGCTGTTGTAACTTAATTTTTTGGCTACTTTAGATTTCTCATAGGTTTGATTGGGTAAATTGTACTTTTGACGTTGTTTAAAGTGTTCGTCGTCAGTGGATGAAGCTGTCGAAATGCTTGATGAAGTATAGATGGGGTCCTTATATTTAGTGTATTTATCGTTAGAAGGAAAATTTTGATGCCTTAAATTGTTGTGTATTTGTGTTTGTTGTTGCTGTTGCTGCCGTCTTCCCGTGTTGCATTTATTTTGTTGTGATATCTCTTGTCCCATATTTTGTTGAGATTTAATATAGGAAACTATAAAAAAGAATAAGACAAGAGATATAGTTTCATATTGATTTCAAAATTATGTTAAAAGATAAAATATAATTTTTGAATGAAATTAAATTAAGATTTAATATAGGCACAAACTATAGAATTGAATAAAAACTTATAAAAAAGTTTAATATAAATGAAAAAATTAATTAAATAATTAAAATAATTAAATAATTTATTAATAAAATATAATTTTTAATGAAATTAAGTTTTCTATGAATTCAAATGCATATTTTTATTATAACTTTGTTAAAATTACAGAAAAATAAAACTGTTTTATACAATGCTTGTTATTATGTGTCTCTTTTTTTAGGCCTACATTATTGAAACTTTTTTATTACTAAAATTAAACAATTGAAAATAAAATTATAATTAATTAATTAATTCAATTATTCTACAGCTGGTTTATGATTTCGTTCTAATATAAACACAGCAAGTTAAATTGTTAATAAAAACTTTCATAGTAATAGTAGTATAATCAAATTCCAGAAAAATATGCGAACAAAAAAGTCAAGTACGGCTTTGGATCAGTTGGTTAAGGTGCGCTGATTCTGAGCTTCACATTTAGCAGGACCCGAGTTCGATTCCTGGTACTTGCAGTCTCAAAAATAATTATAGCATATACAAATAATTAAATACAAGAATTATTTCCAAGACCACTGATGATGGGTATTTGGCAATAATCGAAACAGCTGTATGTTCAGCCAAAAATTCAATTAATTAAAATAATATAAAAAAAAATAAAATTTTTGTTGTTGTATTTCACTATTGTTTGAAAAAACCTCTTTATAAAATATAACAA